CCGCCCTGCCCCTTTCACCCTTTTCGTACGGGGGTCCGGCGGATTGGAAACGCCGGACCACCGACACCCGTGCACGGTCGGGGGTCCGGCGTTCCTGAACCGCCCTGCCCCTTTCACCCTTTTCGTACGGGGGTCCGGCGTTCCCGAACTGCCCTACCCCCTCCGCCCTTTCCGTGCGGGGGTTCGGCGGATTGGAAACGCCGGACCTCCGACAGCCGTGCTCGGTCGGGGGTCCGGCGTTCCCGAAACGCCTTGCCTCCTCCACCCTTTTCGGATGGAGGTTCGGCGGATTGGAAACGCCGGACCTCCAACAGCCGTGCTCGGTCGGGGGTCCGGCGTTCCCGAAACGCCCTACCTCCTCCACCCTTTTCGGATGGAGGTCCGGCGGATTGGAAACGTCGGACCTCCGACAGCTGTGCTCGGTCGGGGGTCGGGCGTTCTCGAAACGCCCTGCCCCCGCCATCCTTCCTGGGTGGGAAGGGGGGGGCATCGGAATGGAAACCCTCGACCCCCTGCCTCGAAAGGATGACGACGGTCCGGCGGACTGGGAACGCCGGACCCCTCGACCATGCATGGTTGTCTGGTATGCACCGTTCCCGACACCCTCGCTAACCCCCCTTTCCGAAAAGATGGCAGGCGTATGGCGGGTCACGTGCCTTCTTGAATGTCTCGGACCACGTGCAAGTGTTTCTGTGTGGTGCTCATTGTTGTTCTCCTGCCCGTCTTTGTTTTGCATTTGCCACCGGCAGGTAAATCTGGTGCGCCGACCTCTGCTCAAAATAAACGGTACGGCAGGTCTAAGACTTACAACAACAAACCGTGGGCTCTTGACTGGGTAGGCGGTTTGCATAAACCGGGGTGTGGGGCTGTTATCTTCTTGAGCGATGACAATGGCGCCACTTGGTACTGTTGTGGGGATGTGGAGAAATCCGAGGCAGGCAGGAAGACCTACGAAGGGAGGACGTTCAGGACCTTCTTCCTCACGTCCGTCCTCGACAGCGCTGGGACGGACTGGGTCAAGGAAGACAAGAAGGTCTCCCTTGACCTGCGTCTCTTCCAAGGATACGGCGTCAAGGCTTTCTCCATGAAAGCATTTGACGTGTGTGGGGACGGAACTGAATTCCGAATGCTTTCTCCGGAAGAATTTCTCAGCAAAACAAACGCCAACCGCGTCACTGGCTGCCTTCTTGTTGTCGACAGTTCTTTTCGGATGAGCAAACCTTTGGTCCAATTCAACAGTCCGATGGACTGGCTGCCAGGTGTGGTTAAGCGGTACAGGGAAGACTTCTCGAAGCTGCCGCCTGATCAGCAAACAGACTGTGTTTTTTTGCCCTTCGAGGCGGGTTCCAAGAGCAGGCGACAAACGCCGCCCGTGACGACAAGGAAGACAAAGCAGTTGCCGGGTGGGCCGTCGGGCGCGAATCTTCCCTCACCCTCCGTGAGGGGAGGTCGTGATTTGGCTCAAGGTTCAAGCGAGGCAACGGAGTTTGATGACAGGCTTCTGCACCAGCGCAATGTGGGCCGTGAGAATTCCCAGGGCAGTGCAATTGCCCTGGACGAGGACAACGACGCGGACGAGGAAGGAGGAAGTGCCGGGCCGCATGACGACGGCGGTAATGAAGCAGATGTGGAAGTTGGGGATGACAACATGGAGGACTGGGGTGGGCTTGCTGACGAGGACGTCGACACGCCAATGCATGGACATGACATCTCCCCCGCCGGCGCTGTGGGAGCCGCTATTGGTCAGGCCTCGACGTCCCGTGGAATTTCGCTATCGCAAAGCAGGAGTAAGGGTGGGCACGACTCACATGCAATGCAAGGACCGAAGGCGAGGAAAAGGACAAGGGAGACTTCTCCGTCTGCTTCTACTCACTAGAGGCAAGCCAGGACTGACGCTGTTAATGAGGCTCATGGAGCTTTGAAAGCGTCCCAGGAGGCGCGGCCTCCTCGGAAGAACAGCCAAGGGGGGCGATCTGGGGGTCAAGGCGGTGGCCGTGGGGGCGGTGGCCGTGGAGGGGCGCGGAAAGGCTCCCAGAGGGTGAGACCACAAGAGTTGCGGGACTCGGGGGATGAGGGCGAGGGAGTGGATCCTCGCATTCCCGAAGATGCTGATGAGTCGGTTCAGCGCGTCGCGCCCATCGACACTACGCGTTGTTTCTTCCTCGAATACGACGACCAAGGCTTTGCTACGCAAGACGTTCATGCTCTTCACGTGGACGTCATGAGAATCAAACGCATTCCCCGCGGAAGGATTCTTTTTAACCACCGCTCGTTGTCTGAAAACATTGTGCGAGGCATCGAGAATGCCATCAAAAGCTCCATCAGCATGGACCCGGGGGCGTAGGATAGGCCCGAGCTCGTGCTTGCGCTAGTTGACCGCAATGACATTATCGGCGGCCAGGGAAGACGGATCACACCGACCGAATTCTTGGAAAGGGACCCGGCAGAGTTCGACTGGTACGCTCTCTGTGGTCAGCATACCGTTGAGGCCATGAAGAGATTGGTCAGAAAGGGCTCCCCGACAGTTAAAGTTTATGGCCTCAACGCGTACTCTAAGGTGCGGGTCGTCTATTTCGGAGATGATCAAACACGAGGGTATTTCAATGTCTCCTGCTTCGACAACACATGCGAAAATTGCTCCATGATGTTGTCATTCGAGGACGTTGTCTGTGACATCAGGCAATGGTGGTTAGACAACAATAGAATCGAGGCCCCGAAAGCCAAGGTCAGCGAGAAGGATGAGGTGGTTGTTGCACATCAGAAGACGTGGCAGAACTTCTTGAGGGCCTGCATGGGGAAGGCATGCAACAAGGCGTTTGTAAAGCAAGCTCTCGAGAATGAGTACTCCAATTTTAACGGACGAAGGACGGATCTTTTTTTCCCTTTTTTGTTTTGTGTGATATGGGACTGGACGTAATGTACAACGTGAATGCATTGGACCTGCTACCAAAGTACGTATGAGATGCTTGCGAAACGATGTGCGGGGTCTCGGTCCCACCTGCGCATTTTCGTTGTAGGAGACTACCACGAAGCGAATGCCGGGCGCCTAAGGACCATGGAATGACGCAATCGATGATCCCTAGACGCCCGCCAGTGAATCCCAGGATCTGGCTTCACTACTCAACATTTAATAGGTATCTGGACTGCCTTGCAGACCAGGTACTTCGGGACTAATCACATATGCTATTTTCCCGGTTTTTTATTTTCATTTGGCCCTGCATTCTATGCCGTACTTAAGACTCCCACAAATGCATGTTCCTCCCGGCTCGGTCGACATGATGCGAGCCCCATTGCCCTCTAGGCTGCACCTCCACTCTTCGCGTGGTACATCAATCTATTTTATCAGGATTTGTCCTGCCCAACATTTTAACTCTTCGTTGATTCATGCTCTGTTCATGTGTGTTCTCGCCCTGAGTTATCTTGACTACGCATCTTTTCGTAAGAAGAACTAACAGTTTCACCGTTATGAGCCAGTTTTTCAGTTTTTCTATAAGCGCTCATGCGCCTATGGGGCAAAAGGCATGAAGCGTAAAATACGCTGAAGAATCAATACTTGGACGATTGATTCTTACTCCTTGGGCCTCTGTTCCACACCACTTGAGTTCATGAGCGAAGCGAAAAATCATCGTTCCACCCCCCCCTTAGAGCGATCCGCTTTGTTTTCACTTTTTTTGCGTCCCAAGGATGCGTCCTTGAAACTCAAGGGCGACACAGCCAAAATCGCCCTTGAATTCAAGTCACCTCCTGGAGGTACCTTGAGTTCAAGTGCCAGCGGTGCCACTGGATACCGCCAACACTCCAAGTGGGACCTTTTTTTTGTTTTTCTTTTTTTCTAGGAGGCGATCCTGGTCCAGGATTGGTCAAGCCGCGGAGCTCGGTTTCAAGTGCAGCCTGTTCAAGGGTTTCCTCAAGTGTACATGGAACCATAAATCGAGTAAGGGTCTCGTTAGACACTCCTAAAAGAATCCTAAAATTTTTAGGACAGTCCTAAAGGTTTTTTAGGATTTCGTGCGTGTAATTCCTAAAAGACCGTCGTTTAGGACCAGTCCTAAAAGAAAGTCGTAATTAAAAAGAAAAAAATAAAAGAAAAAAAGTCATGCTTCAGGGTTTCAGCCAATAGGGTGCACCAGGAGTCCAAGACAACGGTGCCATGCGCACGTCGCCACGACTCCGTCAAACGAGGGAATCCTAAAAATTTCAGTAGGTCGGGGGCTACTGAAAAATTTAGGACGAATTTGCCTGGGGAATCCTAAATTCTTTAGGATTTGTCCTAACGCCGTTTTCACATTTTCGATCTCGAAATCGGATTTAGGATCGCGTGCAACGATGATGCAATCCTAAAAACAGGCATTTTTAGGAGTGTCTAACGAGACCCTAAGTGGAAATTAATCACAATTTTTCGTTTAGTGTGCACTTGAACGAGGCTCTTTCTTTATTTACCCCTACAGTCTTCCCCCCAACAAAATGCACATGTGTACTATTTGACTTTCCCTTGAAAATTTGTTCTTCAAAGTAGCTCCCGATGGCCTGCGGGCCTAGCTCAGTTGGTAAGGCACAGAAGTTGCATTCAGGAGGTCGTGGGTTCAATCCTCATTGGCCTCACGGACGTGCCTGGGCAAGCTTGGTGTTCTACCAGCTAGAGATAACCCGTTGGCCCCCAAGCCAGCATTGGCAGGACCTTGGATGATGTTGTTGGCCTGCTATGCAGCGACAATTAGACACCGCCATGTGGGGTTGGGGGGGGTAGGGGGAGGTGCAGTGACTGGCCATTGCTCGGCGCTAGCACCGCCGATTTCCCCCATCGGCAATGCCTGCCCACCCCTCGTCACCGTGATGAGGGACTGGTACAGCCTTGCTCTCGCACCACAGCTGTGGTGCAAACCTACCCCGTGGGCTGGGGAGAGATCCGGGTTCGTTGGTGTTCCCCCGTACTATAAATAGACTAGTGAGAGGATGAGATAGATGCATACTACCAAGAAAAATACAAAGAATGTGAGATAGATGAGAGAAGAAAATAGCTTACTTAAAAAAAAAAAAAAAAAAAAAAAAAAAGTAGCTCCCAAAAATCCGAATAGTACGCACCTTCAGTACGTCTCTCTCTTTCTCTCTCCTCCCTGGACTGTTCCCGTATCTGGCTGCAATCGCCGTAGAAAACGGGATTACCGCGTGCTCCAAGAAACAACTGGCCGAAGATGTGTCTTCTCGAAGTATTGCGGCCAGAAAACGGGATCACCACGCACTCCAAGAAACCACAGGCCGAACTGCTGCTGCTGTTGCTGCTGCTCTCTCTCTCTCTCTCTCTCTCTCTCTCTCTCTCTCTCTCTCTCTCTCTCTCTCTCTCTGTGTGTGTGTGTGTGTGGCTTCCCCACCGTCTGAAGTGGAGGTCTTCTTGTCTACGTACAGTTTTGGGCCTGGCTCCACCCCTCTACACATGCAGGATGTATACTTGCATTTCCTAGGGGAAGATTCATTCTGGAGACGTGTTTTTTTTTTCTTTTTTTTGGTAATGCAGACCATTACTTGATTTATGTGTGTTGCTCCAACTGTGATCTATGCCCGTACAAGGGCCATTTCTCGATTAATGCGTGTCATCCTTGCGCAGGGGTGATGCTAATCTTCTCTGTATCTTTCCAATTTTAACAGATGTCCGGAAGGGCATATACCGTATTTTTTTTGAGAGCCCGTTTTCTGATGTTGGTGCCCAAAGCCCATAGCATAAGGCATGGCATTGTATATATGAATACAAGGCACAAGGCATGTGGTGCTTTGTATTCAAGTGGTAGAACACATCTTTTGCAAGCATGAAGCTATCGGTTCAAGTCTGATCGTCTCCATGTTTCCTCATGAGCTCATGTATCTCAGGTGGTAGAACATTCCCTCCTTGGTAAGGGAAAGGCCTCCGGTTCAAGTCTGGTCATAGGCTATAATGCCGAACGTGCATTTTGTTCGGGGGAAGACTGTAGCCACAACTCATCCCCCTCCCCTCAGCGCACTACTCTTTCAGGAATATTCGGTTTTAGGGAACTACTCGTCCAGGAATATTCGGTTATGGGACCAAACTGGAAGGTGCCTTTTTTTTTTTTTGTTGAGGAGTGCTTTCATCAACGGCTAGGAATTGTGGAGACAATCCCCACATGGTATTCGCTCTCTGGGACTCTGGGATGGAGGTATCGGCTCATCATCCAGGTTGAGTGATGAGGCATCTGTATTCGTAGACACAGGGAAGTGTAAGACCGACAGAACAGATCGCGATGAGCTTGTTCCTTTCCTTTTTTTTGCGGGCCTAACTGGGGGCATGCATGGTCCCACGTGCGCAAGTTAGGAGATTTCGGCCGTTGATCTTTGCTATCTACGGTCAGTATCTCTTAATTCGTGCAAGAGCGGCCTAGCCCTGGGCAAGGGGTGCGTTTTGCAGACCGCACCGCATGTATCGGGTGCTCTTGGGAAACCGTTGCCGCTTTTTTTATTTATTTTATTTTAATTCATTTATAATCTAATTTTTATTTAAAGAAGGCGCCTACGGTAGTGCCAGGGCTCAAGATTAAAAAGTGATGGCTGAGGCCGGGCTCCTGACTGTCTACCCGAAAAAGGACCGTCTGGGACCGCGCATGCATGCAGCGGGAGCGGGGTGCTACCGGGGGCAAAGTCGCACTTGCACGGATTAAGAGATTCTGGCCGTTGATCTTTGCTATCTACGGTCAATATCGCTTCATTCGTGTAAGTGGGACCTAGCCCCGGATCTACGATACGGGTCTGGTTTGGGCGGTCGTACGGAAGTTGGGTGCCGTCCCTGAGAGCTGGGGTCTGAGCTGGGATCGGGGAACTCGTGTCGTTGCGGAAGAGCCGTTGGTCGGCCTCCACGTGGCAATCGGTCTGGCACGTCGGGACAGACAGGTACGTACGGTGATCGGCTGCGTCGCTGTCGGGATCTGTATATACGGTGTGCAGTTGTGTCGCTATCGCGATGCCGATATGCAGTGAGTCGTTGTGTTGCTGTCGGGATCTCTAGCTACGGTGCGACTTTGTGTCGCTGTCGGGATCTCTAGCTACGGTGCGACTTTGTGTCGCTGTCGCGATCTCTGGGTCGCACGGCACTGTCACTTCACGGCCTTCAAGTCACGCCTCGCTCCTTTCGGCCCCTTTTTTTTCTCTCTCTCTCTCTCTCTCTCTCTCTCTCTCTCTCTCTCTCTCTCTCTCTCTCTCATCTGTTCGATGGAAGCAGGTTCTTTCTATCTGTCTGCGTGCATGGCTGGAAAACTCTCTCTCTCTCTCTCTGTGAGACACACACGCGCGCGCGCGCACCGAGGGGAACACTTTTTTTTTTCGAGGTGTTGTTCGGTACCCT